TCTAGTGTTTGTATAATTCTATTTATTGTAGACAAACAACATGTTGGAGGATGGATAGAATTGCGCTACAACGATCATATCCAGTGGAGGTTGGCGGAATCGTGGAGTGAAGCATTGCAATTCAAGTTGAAGATCCAAGTTCAAGCTTCATCCGTAAAGTGTACCAAGTCAATCCTATTGAAGATCAAGATTGCTTGGGTAACATTTAGTTTTAGGTTTTATATTATGTGTGTTAGTACTTTAAGCTCAATCATATACACACATACACGTTTTGGTTTTGTATATATATAGTTATATATATACATATATGTTTTGGTCTGATAGTTTTCAAGTTTTAATATGAAACAATTGAATACCATTAAAAATATATTTTTTGTTTCATACTTATATGCATATATATGATTTCATCAATATCAATTCTATTTAGTTCAATGAAATCATATTTATTGTTTTTGAAAAGTTTAAAAAATATACAAATTTGTGAAAATATTATTTTCTTAGTTTATGGACTTAATAACAATCATATACATCTTTTATTAAGTCTATATAATCATTTTGTAAATGTTTCAAAACATGGTTAAGCTAAAATGTCAAAACTCATATGTTTACATTTTTATGTTTTGGACTATTTTTCAAAATGATGATATTTTTTTTTTTGGGAGGTCCTTTTTGAAAACCAATTATTGTAGCATGTTTATTATCATGTCTATAATCATTTTCCAAAGTTTTACATTTTTTAGAATTTATTTGATATTTTTAAATAGTGTTTCAAAATCAGAAAACAGCTTTCAAACCTGTCAATTGCATATATCTGTTTGTGGTCGACCGCCACGGGCGACCACCCCTGAGTCCAGAGACTCAGTATGTTTTTTGATGGCTCGCGGTCAACCGTGACGATCGACCGGATGCATTCCAGAGAGTTTCGCGGTCGACCGTGACGATGTCCAGAGCCAAAACTCTGTTTCTGACCTGCTCCGCGCATTCCCTAAGGTCGACCGCCGAACTGTCAATCAGGTTCCAATGGCTCTTTTCCTGAGCTGTTTTCCTTGGGCTTTTTGGTCTTTTCTGTTGGGTTTTTGGCTGAGGTTTTGGGAGGTTATAAATACCTCCTTGCTCTCATCTTTCAATATAATCCAAGAGAATGTTTTAAAAGAGTTTAACAAGGTTTAAGCTTGTTTTGAGTTTGTTTAAAAGAGTGTTTAAGAGTTTGTTTGTGAAGAGAATTTCACAAGAGCTTGAGGAGATCATCAATCTTGTTTGAACTTCAATCTACATCCCTCCACTCTTGATCTATTGAGAAGTTTTCTAAACTCTATTTCTAGCTCTTTTATATATTTGATTATCATTGTTATTAAGCTAGAACTATATTGAGTTTAGTTTTGATTTATATCTCTTTGTTCACACACAACCTATTGAGCTTATTGTATTTACATTCATAGTATAATTTGGGGTTGTGGGTTTGTGACTAAGAGTTGTGCTTAATTGAGTTCACGTCCATTGAAGAGAACAATCATTGTTGTATTGTGCCTAATTATGAGATTCACCTTGTATTACACTTGTACACCGAGAGGAGTGTGTGGTGAGAGTCGGTGTTGCTTCCAAGAGGAGTGGCATCGGTTGACGAACCTAGGGAGAGGTTGTATTCGAGCACTTGAGGAAAGACACGGAGTGACCAACACTTAGAGGGTGTGGAGTGTAGTTACATTGTGTTATTGTGTGGTGTAAACGTAGGGTGTGGAGTGTAGTTACATTGTGTTATTGTGTGGTGTAAACGTTATTCGGGTGATCGTAGAAAACCTGGTTGTGTTAGTGGATTTCTCCCCGGGAGTGGGGAGCGGAGACGAAGGACGGAAGGTCCGAACTCCGTGATCATATTGTTTGTTTGTGATTGCATTGGCGCATCTTTCTTATGCTTATATCTTATATCGTCTTTGTATATTGCTTGTTGTTTATATTGCCCACTATCTAGTTTAGATTGTTTACTTTTGTGTTCATTGTAGATCCTCGCATATATCTCATAGTATATATCATTGCTAGGATATTGCTCTTTGTTCATATTGATTATTCTTGTTTGTAACATATTATATATCTCTCTTGTAAGAATAATTTGTTAATTAGTTTTAATTGGCATAAAATTGGATTAGATTAGCATAAGACCCTAATAACCCCGTCTAGGGTCTAACAATTTGTAGGCTAGGCTGTGTCTGAATCAACCGAGATGCATTCATTGTTCATTTAGAATTTATTATCTCGTCCATGGAAAATACAAATCCTGAAACCCATAAGTAGATTCGTTGCAACTAAAATATAAAATTTACATCCTCTCAATATATATAATACAAAGTGTGTTGGAAAAACAGATGTATACATATATGAACTTAACTAATTGTTGCCAATGCTGTTTAGTTTGTTACGAAAAATTGTGGACCGCTTCAAAGAAATCAAAAGTGGAACCCCACAATCACAAAAGGACAGGGAAATATATTTTTGTGTGTGTGTGTTTGTGTGTGTAAGAAATTAAGTGCTAACCATGTTTTAAGTCTCTGTGCTAACCATGTTTTAAGCAAGAGACTTTGACTACGAAACCTAGAGTTTTTAGTGGTCGTTATACAAATTATTGTTTTATAGATACCTGTACATACTTTCATATAGTCCATCTAATCTTTAAAATTGCTCACATATCTGTCAAATCCTAAGGGGTCTTGCAAATTGGTCCATCATAACCAAGATGCCCCTACTAATCTTATGTTCTTGTGAACTCATGGGGTTTTTTGGGAGAACATGAGCTGAGGGCACTTTGGTCATTGAGGATCAATTTGCAAGACCCCTTAGGATTTGAGGGAATTATGAGCAATTTCAAAGATTTGAGGGATTAATAGGAAATTACTGAAGATTTGACTTTTAAGGAACTAATATCTAAAAATATTTACAGATCATTAGCAATCTGAATTGTACTATTCTCATATAGAAGATCTGATGTTTTGAGGTATGGCAAAAACATAATCTTAGTCATCATATATTTTGTCAAACAAGGAACTATTTGATGCAATATTTTTCAACTAGGTAATTGATGCCATACTATTGTTGTTCAGCTGTCTATAAGGAACTATTTGATGCAATATTTTTCAACTAGGTAATTGATGCCATACTATTGTTGTTCAGCTGTCTATATGGCGTTGCAGTGATGAACTCAGAATCCGGGCAGAAGAACTTCATCAGAACTCAAAGAATTACCTTGAGGTATGAATGTTTATAGAGTATAAAATGTTTATAGATGCATAAGCACTATATAGGTATGAATGTTTATAGATGCATAAAGAAAACTTGAGGTCATTGCTTAATTGCTACATGAAGTCTATTTTATTTCTCATTTCTATTGCAATGCCCACGAGCGCCTAATTAAGGATTAATATTGCATTTTTTTTTTCTAAGAATTACCTTATTATAGTCTGCTTGTTTTATTCTTGTTTAAGAAAATCATAGTTCTTGTTGTTTGTCAGTTCTTGAAACAGAGTGACAAAAGCTTCAAACAATATAAAAGCTACATTCGAGATTCTAAATTCTAACTACTAATTTAGATTTCTTTTGAACAGGCAATGGATCTGTGCCTTGATGCTTGTCCAAAGCTTGTCGGCATCATGAGATCATCACATCTAAAGGAATCAGTCTCTTTGTAAAAGCTAATTCTTGGAGTACCTACTTGTTAATGACGAGAGAGAACCTAATTTTTTTTGTTGCTCACTTTGTAATTTAATATTTTTACTATGTTGTATAATGATGGATACATTATGTTAACAGAGATTATTAAATTAATACTCAATTATCTTACTTGCATATTGTAAACAGAGATTATTAGATTATCTTACTCGATTATCTTACTTGCACTTTAAGAGATTATTAGATTATCTTACTCGATTATCTTACTTGCACTTTGTTACATTATTTTAGATACATTGTGTTAACAAAGAATTACCTTGAGGTATATTTTAGATACATTGTGTTAACAAAGAATTACCTTGAGGTATGAATGTCCAAAGTTTTTCTAATTTTTTTTGTTTTTGATGAGGTAATTATTTATAAATCTTCAATAGGGGCGAAAGTGGTATTTTTTAAAAAAATAATGAGATTAATCTCCTTAACCCCTCTCCATTTGCCAAACACAAAAAACTTAACCCATTGTCTTAACTATCGTATCCAAACGGGTTTAGAATTTTTTTAACCCTTCACGATGGATTAACTAAGTTAACCCTTCTCTTTAATCCCTCCTCCTTAACCCCTTGCCAAACGCAGCCTAAAGGTATAGTCCTTTTCAACACTATTTTCCTTTCGCACAAAGTGCCCATGATAACTATAAAGTAACGGTTGAGTAAAGTTGAAGGAAGTAGAAGTCAATGAGCATGTTAATCGAGTAAAATGTCTAAACCTATCATTAAAGATTTGCTCAATTAATCATTATCAAGAAAATCTTTAGCAAATTGTTTCACCTGCCTGGTGTGTGTGTGTGTGTTTTTTTTTTTTTTTTTTTTTTTTTTTGGGGGGCGTGTGTGTGTGTGTTTTTTTTTTTTTTTTTTTTTTTTTTTGTTTTGTGGGGATGGAATCCTGTAGAAAGTTCTCTGTAAAATTATCATACAAGAAGGAAATAGAAGGAAACACATGACTCAAGACATAGATTTTATACTTAGTGATTACGTTAACACCCTATTTCGATTGCACCGAAGTGTTGCATATTAATTATATTAATTTAAAATTAATAGTGGAATAAGCGTCATGTTTTTCCCCCCTCCATATATGACTTCACATAGAGCACATTCACCAGAAATTTTCAGCATAAACGTTACCGATGGAATAGTTTACTATCCTCTCTTTCTCAATCTTCATTATCTCTTCCACATATACGACACCAACAAGACTAATGAACACATGCTAACCAACAATTGAAGCGCATGACAAATAATAAAAGATTTGGTTAGGGTCCAATCTATACTACGTTCTCCTCACAATTGAAGCACATGACAACACTCCCCCTTTCTTTGTTGATGAAAAAGATGCACATTTGAACTTCAACAAAAACCGATGAGGATTTTCCGTCAACAAACCAATTATAATGTTACTTTTCCATTTTAAGGTTTCATTGTTATCGTGGACATTATCCAAGAATTTTATTTATTTATTTATTCACAACAGGAATGAATTTCCCCTATTTCCATCATAGAGCAAAATTTGAATCTCACAGAGATGGATGCTTCACATATATCCAGGTTCAATTCACAGTGTTGTGGTAATCTCATCTGTTAATGGCTAGTGAGTATCATTACGTGGCCTTCACTTGATTAGGCAACTGCTTTCCTAAAGAGGTAAACATGAAGTTGCCGGAGAAAAGAGCTTCCCTTTCTGTCAATTGAACAAGACAAGCAACTTGGTTAACTGGAGATAGACAAAAAGATGAATAAACTAGGAATGAGAGGGATTTACCTGTCATCGATAGGCATGTAGATTCCCTGCGAGTGTATCTAGCCATTGCCTACAACAAAAGAGAATAATGAACTTGTTTCAATAAATGGCAAGGAAATGTGTTGTAGATGTAAAATGTTGAACTTGCCTGGACAGCAGTAGCAGCTGCAGGATCTGACATTGCTGAGCCATCTTCTGAGAAAACGTTCCTGAAGTTACACCAGAGTAAACTTTATCGCATTGAATCTAAAAAGTCATGAGAAAGATTTACTCTATTAACAACACAAACCTAATCGCAAAGTTTTGGGTCGGCTACATGAATCGTACATTTGCGTTTAGTTCTTGAGTGCTACCTTCTCTACTAAGTTAATCCTTTTAATATCCTTGTTAAGTACTTTTCAACCAAGTTCTCTTAGTCTGATCTCTAGTTCTCCTTTCTCCATTTATTATAATGTTATCGTAATCTCCTAACTGGTGCATTTTCACGGTCTTAATTACACATGGATCAAACCACCGCAAACAATTCTCTCTAATTTTATCCTCTCAGGAGCAACCTTTGACTTCCTATGAATACAATCATTTCTTATCCTATCCTAGTGTATATCAGCTTGTCTAGCATAACTTTCTCCATGACTTATATGAATATAGCACCAACATGAGTTGGCATTTTAAATAACAGAAACCCACCTCTACTAGTACAAAAGCATTTGCAGGAAACATCCCTATTCTACTATTTTCTACATTAAATCTCCATAATATTAATTCTACAGATAATCCCTAGTTCTTGTAAACATTCGGGAGACAACCCCACTACACTAACTTCAGAATAGGGGTTTATCTTATATCCTAGTATTTACATAGAGAATTGTCCGGAACTGAGGTAAATAAAGTGTTTTTTTTTCAGACTTCAATGGAAACATAAAACAAAAGTTTTTTTTCCTTAGGGCGGGGTGGCGCGGGGGGTGGGGTGGGGTGCCGGTTGGAAAGGAGGAGGGCTAATGCTTAAAATGCGGAAACCCGTCAATGGAAGCGTTTGGACCCTTGATGAAACCAGCGTAAGCTTCCAGTGAGACGTAACCTCAAATTAATTATATTCTAAATTTAAATGCACAAATACTATAAATCATATAAAATAATGGTACATAATTTACAAATTAATACATTCCGGTATTAGATAGTGAATAAGAACAAACTGTGTAAGTATAAATACAATCGTAATAAATTACGCTACGTGTATAAGACATAGATTATAATCATCATCACATGACCATATAAGACATAAAGTTACAGGTTTTCTTTTAATTAAAAAACTGAGCTCATTTGCTACATTGGTTCAAGAGACTAGATAAAAATGTACAAAAGAACATGAACAAGTCAGGAAAGAGAGAAAAGATCCAATAGCAGGGACGAATGTGAAACCAATCCAGACACACAAACAAACAATACTTGAATCTAAAATTTGGGATTGTGAAAAACAAGTTGAATTAGCAGAAAGAAACATTTTGGTGATGAGGCATATGCTTCGCAGGACAAATCTTTTGCACTTTGAAGAGATATCTTTCAAAATGATTCCAAGTCAGTCTCAACACGTGCTTCAAAAAACTTTTTCAAACATTATGGTGCGCGTGTATGTCTGTTTTGGGCGGATTGTCTATTGCCTTCATATGAGCATCCAATTCTATTCTCTTATTTCCATCTCAACATGTTTTTGAGTCGGTAGATCAAGGTGATTTTACCTAGTTGTAATTTCTATTTCTTATTTATAGGTGACAAAGGGTCCTTTTTCAAAATAGTTTATCGGGTCAACTGCAAAACTTTGTATTACATGTTTCTTGACACTTCTAAACATCTTTCGTTGACTCATATCATATGAATTGATGTAGACGTACATATTCCAAGACCCAGATAGTCAATCTGGAGTATACCAGAGTCCCTTCTTATCAAGGGCTTCTCTCATCAAACTTCAGTCAGCAATATGGAGCAAATAGAAGTCAAAATGGTTCGGCAAAGGTATTGAACGAACCTAGTGGGATATCCTAGAATGTGGAATTCTTCAAAGATCTCAATTTCTCAATGAATAGCAGTAGGGATGTATGATTACTGCGAGTTTCGTCTGACCAAGCATAGACATTGCCAAGAAGGCACCGTGGATAATAAGAATCCAGAAAAATAACATATCCAAGGCTGCAAGCATGATAAAGGATAAAAGCTTACACACTAAAAGTTTACTGAAAGTTACAGAAACATATTAAAAATATAAAGATTTATCCAAAACCCCTCCACCCTTGTCTATGTTATTCTTAAACATCGTTCTACTTGAGTTTTGTCTTAACCATCTTTAGCACAAATCTGACCATGATAAAATATTTATCCAAAACCCCTCCACCCTTGTCCATTTGACCGGCCAAGATCCCCCAGGATGGGGTGGAAAATTTTGAATATAACCCTCATATTACATGACATCTTATTTCAATGGTCACATGACTAAGTCTATTTAAACACACAACTTATCTCTCTCACTTGCATGCATAAAAGGAAATGTCACTCATGTTCAGTCCTCTCCCTTCCCCTCT